TTCATGCCCTCAAATTATACAGGGTGGCTTAAAATGATTTTTCAATTCGGAACTTTTGGAAGTGATTTTTGTCGAGTTTTCCAAATGACACACCCCATATATTTTTAGGTCATTTGGTGTAAAATCGAAACACGAAAATCTTTTATCTCAACATCTATATTGATATTCGTAACCATTTTTGAATCATTGAACTTAGAATATTTTAGGTTGGCCATTTTCATCGATACACATTCTCATCAGTTATCAAAACATCAAAAGTCCAATTAATAATTGAGTAAACTTGTTTTTTCATTGAAAGAATTGGAACCACAATCAAAGCGAACATCAGATATAGTTCATATGATAGTAATTTACAAAGTAAAATGAGAAAAACAAATCCATTTTTGAAATATCCCACACGGAAAAAAAGGATTTGTTGCATCAACAAATTATTTATGCTTGAATTATTTTTGTTAGACTAAGCAATTTCTTGTTGAATCAACCAGATACATGATTATTTCATGGAAGCAGCTTGTTCAAATCAAGAATGTAGTCTAATTGAATCAACAGTATAATATCAATTCGATCAACAAAATATATGGTTTTATCAAAAACAAATTATGTTGATCCAAAATGATGTCGATGTTGATTCAATTATGAACATTTCGTTGATTTGATCAAATAATGATCATTTTGATGGGAATGTATCTTTGGAACAACATAAAAGTTTTCTTATTCCGATGTATAGCAATGAACTTGTTTCGAACGGATCATTTGCTTGAATAGAGCAACGAAATATGTAATATCGATGAAATATTTTGTTCATTCTACATCAACTCTCTAGATGGCGATCATTTCGCCTCGTCTATGCCTGCCTCAAATTCATTATATACGTGAAGCCTGATTCTTCGTGTTTAAATATATATAAGATAAAAGAACGGAATTAAATCAATATCAATAAAAGTTGCATAATAATCATCAGATAAATAAACAAAAGAGTCTCTCCTTTGATACCCTATAAAAAGTTAACCAATAATAATAAGACATAAACACAATTTTTGCTTCCCATTAGGGTAGGGAACCACCACGCAAAGTCAGGCTAGGAAACACACATTAGACAAAAAGGTTTAAAAGTCGGAAGACTGAAACCAAGTAAGGGGTTATATAAAACATATGCAGATTGCCAAATGCATAAGGTTGAAGTCCACTCGTTAGTGAGTGGGGGTGGATGGACATGGGGATGAGGAGCTATCATATAACGTAAGATAGTTATATGGCGGCACTTGATCCTGGGCATTCAACCTTTCGGGGGGCGTGGTGGTGGTGGTGTTTAAATATCAACTAGATAAATCGGACTTTGGATGATTAGCAATCCTAAATAGTTTTCCATCAGCTGAAGAGAAGTGAAGACTGATGATCTATGCTAGGAGTCGACTTGTTTCCTAGTTTTGTTCATTCTATTGATGTGAAATTTCATAAAATTCACGAATATTGTATTTGTTCAACAAAACAATTTGTCGAATATAGTTTCTCTTGAATCAACAAAATATTTCATTGAATTAACCAAATATTTCTTTGAATCAACCAAATATTTGATTGAAGCAATATTTTATTATTTTGAATCAAACTGAATGATTGTTTAAGCCAATTCAATATCTCTTAAAAACCATTAATGGATGTGCTTGATTGAAGAAGATCCAGAGTTCATGCAAGACATATTTACTTGATTCAAACTCCAAATTCGCTCTGAAACAAGATATAGATTTACTCATTTCAAGATTATATTTTGTCGTGCATATATGACACTTTTATTTGCTCTATTCAATTAAATTTTGCTTGATTCAACAATTCCTTTTTTTTCGTGCATAAATCCATAGCACATCAAGAACAAAACCATAATACAGAATTATGCAAAATGGAAATTTTGTTCTTTTTCACTTTGTGAATAACTAGCATTTGAACTATTTCTGTTTGCTTTGATTCTGGTATCAATTCTTTCAATAGAAAACAAGTTTAATGAATTATTATTTGGACTTTAGAATGTGTATCGATGAAGATGGATATCCTTTAATCTTTTAAAGTTCAATATTTCAAAAATGGTTACGAATATCA